GACAGACAGACAGACAGACAGACAGACAGACAGACAGACAGACAATCTGTCGAATCATGGTTCACAGTGGAATTTAGGACCGTAGACACTTGAGTAACATTGTGAATTTGTTCTCTTCGGGTTAAATCTGAGGGTGAGGAACTCTAGATTTTACTGTATCCTTTCACGTATGTTCACGCACATCGCTTTTATTAAACTTACTGTTTTTTCAGCATTTCCATGGATAACCTCTCTTTCTCTAGTCTTGCTGTAACTCCTTTCTTAACCTTAGCTTCAAATAGTTCAGCTCCTCTGTGCAAACAGAAGTAATGTATTAATCAACTATACATTATTTGATCATCAACTTACAGCTTTTACTAAACCTTATTTTCCTCTTGGGATGTGAGCAGTACCAGATAGGCCAGCATTTATTGCCCATCCCATATTGTCCTTAAACTGAGTGGCTTTGCTTGCTCATTTCAGAGACCTGTCAAGAATCAAGAACATTGCTGTGGGTTTGAAGTCACACCCCCGTTAGGAGATGCAAACAATGTTATTTAATAATATCTAGCTGAAACTGATTAAATCTTACTAAATCAAGCACAAAATATCTTCAAGGGCTTGATCTGAGGGTTTCTTTTTGATTTTCAGAATCTGGTTTTTCTTTAATCGATTCAGCTAGGCCAGCACTTATTGCCCACCCCTAACTGCCCAGAGGGTAGAGTCAGAGTGTCATACAGCATGGAAACAGACCCTTCAGATCAACTCGTCCAAGCTGACCAAATTTCCCAAACTGAACTAGTACCATTTGCCTGCATTTTACCCATATTCCTCTAAATCTTTCCTATTCATGTACCTGTCCAAATGTCTTTTAAATTTTGTAAGTGAATCTGCATCTACCACTTCCTCTGGCATTCCACATATGAACCACCCACTGTGTGAAAAACATACCCCTCAGCTCCCTTCTAAATCTTTCTCCTCTCATCTTAAAAATACACCCTCCAATTTTCAACTTCCCTATCACATTGCTGTGGGTCTGGAGTCACATGTAGGTCAAGCCAGGTAAGGATGTCAGATTTCCTTCTATAAAGGACGTTAGTGAACCAGATGGGATTTTACAACAATTGACAATAGTTATTTGGTGACCATTGTGTCAGCTCTTTATTCTAAATTTAACTCCACCTACCATCATCTCTCTGATACCCCACACTCACTCTATCTCTGCTACTGCACCCACCACCCACCAAGGCTCATGTCCTACTATTCCTGCCGTTGCCTCAACATCTTTTTTCATTCACACTCATCCTGCCCTACCACTGACACCATTAACCCTGCCTATCCTCTGTGCTGCCATATCCTTGTTCAGGACACTTTCCAAACTACACCTATGCCACCCATTTTCATCGCAGCGTCTCAGAACTGATATGATGCAGAAGGCAGCCATTCGGCCCACCACACCTCTACCGGTTCTATTCCCTACTGCCAATTTCCTGCCTTTTTTCCATAACGCTGCACATCATTTCTATCCAAATAATCATCCAGTGGTCCCTCTTGAGTGCCTCAACTGAACCTGGCTCGACCACATTTCCAGGCAGTGCCTGCCACACCCTAACTACTCGCTGTGTGAAAAAGATTTTGCTCACATCATTCTTGGTTTTTTTGCATTTTAAATCTATGCCCTCTTGCTGTTTTTTCTTTTACAAGTGCGACTGGTTTCTCTCTATCCACTGTACCCAGCCTGGCTCATAATTTTGAGAGCCTCTCTCAAATTTCCTCTCAGCCTTCTTATCTCAGCAATTTCTCAATCTATCCTCATAGCTGAGTTTTTTCATTCCTGGAACGATTCTGGTAAATCACTTCTGCACTTTCTCCAATACATTCACATCTTTCCTTGAAGGTGGCGCCCACAGCTGTTCACAATACTCCAGCCAAGGTCTAACAAGTGGCTTGTACAAGTTCAACATCATTTCCTTGCTCTTGTAATTTGTGCCCCTGTTAATCAAGCTGAGACCATTAAGCTCTACCTCCTGCTTTCTCCACCTGTCCTGCACCTTCAATGATCTGTACACATGTACATCCAGGTCCTCTGCCCCTTCATCCACTATAAAATTGTACCCTCTCTTTTATATCATCTTTCTATGTTCTTTCAACCAAAATGCATCACATCACATACTCTCCCATAATATAATATCTGCCTCTCAAGAATCAAGATGAGCACTGAGCTGCCCAATATTCCACTCCTCACTCCTTATGAGAGGTTCCTAACCCTCACCTCTCCGAGCAGGGCCTGGACTGGTATTGGAGGCTGCCTTTGATTTATTGTGCCAGGAGCCCCCGAGTGAAAGCCAGCTTCCTTGACTGTACTGAGACCTGCTGATGACTATGACAAATTGCCTAGCTTTGTTTGCACTAAACAGTACAGCAAGACAGGAGTAAGACGAGCTTCATATCTCTAGCTGAGGGGAAAAGCAATATAAAGGCAAGGCAAAGCCAGGCACAGCTGCTGTTAGCCTCCACGTAGGTTTACAGTAAGCGAGTGCTATGACCACTAGCAAAGGGCCTGGAAATGTAGCCTGGTCCAGTCCACGAGCTGGGTGCATGTTCCTGAGCACACAGTGTCTGCACCATTAAAATCAGAGTTACCGGGGCAACATTCAAGTGCAGAATCAGAGATATACCACGAGGGTGCTTAGAGATGTTGGATGCCAACGTTTGTGAATGTGGACAGTGCCCAAAGGGTGTGGTCTGTGATGTTGGTGCCTGGTTTCCTACAGAGAGGTCATTGGGAGCAAGTGGCAAGCTGAAATCATGAGATACACACCCCAGTTTCCTGGTGAATTTTCCTGATGTGGAAAATTGGGAGTTTGTGGAGTTTGGGAAGATGGCAGTCTGAATATTAATGAGGGGAGTTGTGGCATTAACAAGTCATTTAACAAACAGTGAGCGTCACTTGACATCTTGCCACTGCCCAGTGAGACTCTCACCATTGCCACTTGTGCAAAGCATAAAAGACGGAACAAAATGATCTTGATATCAGGATGGGCCTTGCTGAACTTGTCACCCGATTGTGCCACACATCTACCCACAGCTCACATCTCCCAGACATATATACAATTGTTCCCCTCATGTTTGACCATTGGATAAAAAGACTGTGATAAGGTCGGATCACTTCTCAATCTGAGACATTTTCCCACTTCACCAGCTCTTCAATATCTCTACCTGCCCTTGGAGGCCGCAGTCTGAAAAAAATACAGCAGTCTGACAATTTAATTAAAAGGAAGGAAAAGGAATGAGCTCTTTTCAATAATTCTTACCAAATGCTCATATTGGTGTTAAAGACATGCTGGTACTAAGTAAACTTATTTTTAAAATATGTAAACCACTCTAGAAATATTGACCAGATAGGTTTTAGCTGTGATTACAAAAAAAAACTCAATATGTAACTGTGAATTGTAAAGTATTAGTTTAGCCATACCATATGCTGGGAATTTATTATTTTTTATTTCCTTTATGGGATGCTGGTGTTTCTGGCTAGTCCAGCAATTAGATATTGCTCATCCCTAATGGCCCAGAGGGCTGTGATAACTCAACCAGATTGAACAAAGAACAAAGAACAAAGAAAATTACAGCACAAGAACAGGCCCTTCGGCCCTCCAAGCCTGCGCCGATCCAGATCCTCTATCTAAGCTGTCGCCTATTTTCCAAGGATCCGTATCCCTCTGCTCCCTGCCCATTCATGTATCTGTCTAGATACATCTTAAATGACGCTATCGTGCCCGCCTCTACCAGCAACGCGTTCCAGGCACCCACCACCCTCTGCGTAAAGAACTTTCCACGCATATCTCCCTTAAACTTTTCCCCTTTCACCTTGAAATCGTGACCCCTAGTAATTGAGTCCCCCACTCTGGGAAAAAGCTTCTTGCTATCCACCCTGTCTATACCTCTCATGATTTTGTAGACCTCAATCAGGTCCCCCCTCAACCTCCATCTTTCTAATGTAAATAATCCTAATCTACTCAACCTCTCTTCATAGCTAGTGCCCTCCATACCAGGCAACATCCTGGTGAGCCTCCTCTGCACCCTCTCCAAAGCATCCACATCCTTTTGGTAATGTGGCAACCAGAACTGTATGCAGTATTCCAAATGTGGTCGAACCAAAGTCCTATACAACTGCAACATGACCTGCCAACTCTTGTACTCAATACCCCGTCTGATGAATGAAAGCATGCCATATGCCTTCTTGATCACTCTATCGACCTGCGTTGCCACCTTCAGGGTACAATGGACCTGAACACCCAGATCTCTCTGTGCGTCAATTTTCCCCAGGGCTTTTCCTGTGATCTAGGGATTGCTGTGGGTCTGGCATCACATGTGGGCCAGACAGGTACGTTCAACAGATTTCGTTCCTTAAAGGACATGAGTAAACTAGTTGACTATTTATGAGTGTTGACAGTGGGTAATTGGTCATCACTAAGCCAGCTTTAAACACCTTGCCTTTTATTGAATTCAAATTTAACCATCTGCTGTGGTGGGATTCAAACCCATTTCACTAGAGCATTATCCTATGCCTCTGGATTACTGCCCCAGTCTGCCCTTGAATTGAGCACAGGTATTGTGTGATATTTTATTATCTAAGTTGTTTTTTAAAATGAGGAGGTAATGTAGTATGTTGTTATAGTTGGGCATTTTCCCTCTGTGCTGCCTTCTCTGTTTGGAGGTGTAAATATTGTTCAATGATGGCTTGCTCAGTGAAATTTCTAAGCTTTACATTTACATACTTTCCTATAGATCTCTCAGTCTTTTGTTTTGAAATGTAGATTGATTTTATAATCATCGAGAATCACAGAATTCCTACAGTGTGGTGGAAGGCTATTCAGCCCATTGAGTCCACGCAGACCCTCTGAAAAGCATCTCACCCCTATCCCTGCCTCCACCATAGCCAACCCATACATCCCTGAACACTATGGGCAATTTAGCATGGCCAATCCACCTAATCTGCACATCTTTGGACGGTGGGAGGAAACCCTCACAGACACAGGGAGAATGTGCAAACTCTGCACAGACAGTCACCCAAGGCTGGAATCGAACCCAGGTCCCTGGTGCTGTGAGGCAATAGTGCTAACCACTGAGCCACTGTGCTGCCCCATTGTTGTTCCTGAAGAAACATGATAGTGGAGCCATAGTAACAAAATTGTCATGGAATCTGAAAAGTCCATTAGTTTAATATCTAATTAAGTTCCATTAGTTAGTCTTTATTTTGATTCAAAAGGCTGTGGATTCAAACTGAAGCTAGGACTTAGTCATATAATCAAAACTAATATTTCAAAGCATTGTTGAGTGAGTGCTGCACTGTAGGGGGTAATAGCCTCTAACTTAAATATTAGCTAACTGTTTGGACTGATGTTTAAGATCCCATGACATTATTTAATGAATGGTTGAGTCCAATCATGTCCCACCCATGGAATATCCAGTAAAGGCTGGAATTAAATGCTGAGGAAAGCAGGGATACTGATTATCATTCCAGGTAAGAGCAGTTAATTCAGTTTCGACCAGAAATTGAACTAGGGACCCTCCTAATGTGTCTGGTTTTACAGCAAAACAGGGAGTAAGTATGCCAGTCATCGCACTTGTCGGCTGAGGAGGGTCTGATCTCAATGATGTGACTATTGTTGCAGGAGCTCCTGTTGGAGTCATTTAGCCTGAGCCCACAGTAAAATATGTTGTGTTCCAGGTCTCCATTCTTACCTCGCTGCCAGCAGTTTGGAAGCCTTTAGGTCTGCCACAACATGGAGAAAATAGTAACTCAGGAAGACCCGCCTCTGGGCTAGTAGGAAGAGGAAGCAGGTACTGTCCCAAATAATGCCTGCCTGCTTATTTGGGACCTCACAGCTTTCAAGCAAATCATCTGCATTCGCTGAAAATACATACCAAAAACATGGTAAACTTTCATTAGAAATCAATCAATGTGTAATTGACAGTCACAGAGATGTACAGCATGGAAACAGACCCCTCTGTCCAACTCGTCCCTGACGACCAGATATCCTAAATTAATCTAGTCCCATTTGCCAGCATTAGGCCCATGTCCCTCGAAATCCTTCTTATTCATGTACCATCCAGGTGCCTTTTAAGTGTTATTATTGTAACAGCCTCCACCACTTCCTCTGGCAGCTCATTCTATACACGCACCCCTCTCTGCATGAAAAAGGTGCCTTTAGTTCCCTGTTAAATGTATCCCCTCTCACCTTAAACCTATGCCCTTTAGTTTTTGACTCCCCTACCCTGGGGAAAAGGCCTTGGCAATTCACCCTATCCATGCCCCTCATGATTTTATAAACTTCTATAAGGTCACCCTCAGTCTCTGACGCTCCAGGGGAAAATAGCCCCAGCCTATTCAGCCTCTCCCTATAGCTCAAACCCTCCAACCTTGGCAACATCCTGGTAAATCTTTTCCGAACCCTTTCAAGTTCCACAACATCCTTCCTATAGCAGGGGGGCCAGAGTTGAACGCAATATTCCAAAAGTGGCCTAACCAATGTCCTGTACAGCTGCAACAGGACCTCCCAGCTCCTATATTCAAGGCAAGTGTACCAAAAACTTTCTTCACTTTGCCATCTACTTGGGACTCCACTTTCAAGGAATTATCAGTTTTGATGTAACACTATAGTTCTGTTCTCGTATGAGCTTGTGTGATAAGAAAATCAGGCAATAGCTGTGCCATTTAAACTAGTGGGGCCAGAATCGGGTTATAGCTAGTGCAGGTATAAGGAAAGTTCGCATTCTATAAATAGCGGTCTAAGTTCTTCCATCGTGTTAAAGCCAATTCGCTTTGAAGAAACACGCATTATAGCAGAACCGGCTGAGCTATGAACCTGCGCCCCAAGATCTCTTTGTTCAGCAATGCTCCCCAGGACCTTAGCATTAGGCCCTAAGGTTCAATGGGCACCACATGCCTCTCAATGTCTCTCCAGCCAGTCTTTATGCACAAGTGCACCAAGGCAGTGAGAGTTGGCACACTGTTCAACAAGACAGGCAGCACAAATATACACTTTCCAACAATGTAGTCAACGCACAGTGATCAGGATCATGGACCATTATTGATTCCTACCTAAGCAAATTGAAGACTATTGCAGGCTACATAAGCTGCAGAGGAACACGGAATACTTCAGAACAATGAAAAATAACAGGATCTGTCACTTACAAATTTGTTCCTTGGTCTGCCCAGGAATCAAAGTCAGAGACAGATAACAGGGGAAAGTCAAGCAGCCAATCATTGTTTTATACCACCTTTGGAGTTTAAATATCCACAAATTTCATCAATAGCTTGCAGTCTTCCATTCAAAAAGGACTGATTTGACATCTGTCCATCACTATGCATGTCATTGGAACCTCAACACAAAACGATTCAAACTTTCACATGACAACTTATTCACATCAGGAACTTCTCCATTCTCCCCTCTTGTGCAGATCCCAAATCATGTTAGGATTAAGTTCAAGAATCCCAGATGTTGTCCTGTACCTCACAGCTATTACATGCACATGCGCATACGCATGTGTGTGTGTGTGTGTGTGTGTGTGTGTGTGTGGGACAGAGGAGGGGAGAGAGAGATGGCATTTAACAAGATAGACAACACATACAGTGTCTGTGTTTTGTGTGTGTTTTCTGTGTGGTAGTCCCTCAAACTAACAATGACACTAGATCTTGGCAAGAACCTGCCCATGGAGTCTTTATTTAAAAACATAGGGAGGTTGTTGCCCTGCTGCTATCACATGGTTCAGGCTGACCAGAGAACTCACGAGCCGTTTGTGTATCGGAAAGGTTGGCAGACCGATCATTCTCCTGTTTGGCTTTGATTTGATTGATGCCGAAATACTGAACTTGTTAACAGAGATTGCTGGACTGTGATCATGAGAAAGAAACTTGGTTGATTTATGGACGCACTGAGGTCAACGATGCAAACTGCCTAGATGCCCTGTCAACTGATTAACTCTGTGCGACAAAGGATCCAATTCCGGAACTTCCAGATTCCAATGCTGGAGGAACACAGCAGATCAGGCAGCATCAGAGGAACAGGAAAGTCCATGTTTTGGGCCTAGGTCCTCCAGCACCACACTGTATTGACTCTGACTCCAGCACCTGTAGTTTTTGCTATCACGGAGTTTGTGCTGGGACAGAATAGATTGACCTGCCTATCTTACATATATATTTGAAGGATATTTTTCTGTTATTCAATACGGCATGCTAGACAAGCAGAGCCAGTGAAACGGTCCTTACACCCTGCGTCCCTATACAAGGAGTTTATTTCTTTCTAACTTTACTGAGCAATGGATGAAACAACCATCACTTACGGAGATCATAATCTTTGATCGTGCAGGCCATGCCAAACGTCTGCACCATCCAGCAGTTCTTCTCAAGCAAACTCTTCAAGTAGACACAGGAGCCAATCTGCCAGAGAGCAGTTTCTGATTAATAAACTCTGACTAAGTTGTCAGTAGAGTTTCCAGTTTTCACAGTAGCAGTCATTCCGTGCTCTCAGCGTTAAGTAAGCCAGAGGCTCAAATCCTACTGTCCCTTTGTCAGCTTGAGGTTCCTTCTCATTTGTACTGGAAATCAACAAAGTGAGAACCAATACCCAGGAACATAAACCAACACGTGAATGTGGATCAGGAGAAGACCATTTGGTCCCTGGAACCTGCTTTGCCTTCAATCACATCATATTTCAACTGATAGTGGATTCAACTCTATTTCCCTGCCCACCCCTAATAACCATTAGACTCCTGTAGCAGTGAAGAATCTATCCACTACTCCCTCAAGGTATAGAGAACTGGCTCAACGATTAGAGATAACAAGGTGTAGAGCTGGATGAACACAGC